CCAGCTGCAGCTCGGAAATGCATTTCCACCTGGACTCCAGTAGATGTATGCAAGAAAGACAGAAGATTGACAGCATTAGGGAATTGCATCTCACGTTTAAACTCCATCTCCATCACAGAAGGATGTCAGTACACACTGTCACTTACACAGTACAATTATGGAAGTTTCAGTAATTTATTTTTTGATATAACCTCCAACACAAAATACAATTTTTAATTTTTTAAAGACTATACACCTAAACTCACATATGAGCCACTATTGACAAATTCCCCTTATCAAAAAAAAAAATCCAAAATTATTTTGCTAGTTTTGTCTCAAAAAAGCAATAGCATCTTTGAAAAGAACATTATACGAAATCTAGATTAAAAACCACAATGGAATAGCATTCATACACCTCATTAAATCGGCAACAATACTTAAGATATTATCACTACTGAAAACCAGTATTGTTTAAGAGCTGATCTCGTGGTCTACAACTAACATCTTTGCACAATTTGGTAATAAACTAATTAGTGCTATTGAAAAACAGATAATTCTCAATCTTCAAGAAACATGAAATGGCTAGTTTGTATCTGTAAGGACTAGGAGAGTATCAAGTGAAATAACTAGTGTTTGCACTTCTGTTTTTTGCTGGTTTTCCTCTACACCCACTGAGGCAATTCTCAGAATCAGATTTGGAATATGTGATTCTGTATCATTTCACTTAGTAACTATGCTCAGTCTAACTGCTAGGGAAGTCTGTGAACTTGCCTGATATCCTCTATAAATACTTCTGACTGGCAGATGTCCTTCCATAATTCCATAGCTTTAGTTCAAATCTATCGTCAGTCCTTCCCTTTGTAAGAAGCATCTATGCTGCCAGGAACTAATGCAAAGAAAACACAAAATTGGTCAAGATGAACTTCCAATGGACTGAAAATAAGCATGATTGAGGGCTGTCATCTGCTTTGGCATGCCTTTCCAAATCAGAGGAAACACCTCAAAAATTACCCTGAAAAAAAATGTAATAGCTTAAAAATCGGGCTCCCATAAGGTTAAAACCACAGGAGATCCTTAGCATATGGGTCACTTTTACAGACATTAGGTAATGTTCATAGAATCATTTAAACATGGAGAACCAGCCCATGTGTCACTCCATCCCAAACGAGCTGGTTTTACCTGCAGTGAGACTAGTTTCATATCTTGGTAAAATTAGCCCCTGCTCCTTCTTAGAAGCACTCCCTTTTTTTCCCTCCCAAGCATAACATTTTTAGCTATACAGAACTAAAATTACAATTTTTGTCTAAATTTGAATACAAAAAACTGTCTCACCAATTCCAGACTATAACACACGAAGGGTAATATGCAACCGCAATACATTAAGGAGCTCCATTCTTCTTCTCTGCAACAGAACTAAACAATGCAAGGAGGCAGGGCTAGAAATGTGTCCAAATGCCCTTTCTCCGAGGGAGCACAACCAGCCTCCATGGGGAACATTTATCACTTTGCAGTTTGACCTGCATGATTTGCACCAGCATGATAAAAAAAACCAACCTGAACAATGTGTAACATTTTGGAAGTTCTCCTTGCATGAATAACTTTGTGAGGTATATCTACACTGTTTTGAAGTGAATGTATGCCAGAGAAGCCTATAACTAAAGTTCCGTCAATACGCAGTTGTTCTCATAGAATTCAAAAGACAAAACTATTGACTGAGAAGAAATCCACTTATTATCCAAAAGTTTGTATTTATGATCTTTTTCAAAGGAGGTCCTCCCTTCTTTTCTCCTATTCTCTCTGACCTTTTTAATAACTTCTGTTCTTTTTATATTTTGCACAATGAGGGAGGAAATAATTATACGCCTCTCTGGTGACAACTGGTACTTCTCCTCTTGCAAATGGAAACAGCAACTAATTCCCCTGCTAATATTTACTTGTGGTATGTGTCATTCTCCTCTCTGTCAGCTTATTCTTAATAAAAAGTTAGGGAATAAAAAGGATTATGTTGTTCCTTTAGACATTTATTTATGAATAGAACATTTTCAGACACATAAAATTAAGGGTGTGGGGTTTTGTTTTTCACTTTGAGAAAGATCATTCTAGATCCCTGAAGTGAGATACTGCAAAGCTTAGGTTAAAGTAGAACACCTTCTTTGGCAGAGAAAAACATGTACACACGAATGACATTACTATTAAACTATTTTACTTTAGTCACATACATAACTATTCTAACACTGACTAGTCTCAAATATTCATGCAATCAAATTTTATTGGCATCAACAGTTACGGAAGGTGAATTGCAGAGCTGCATGCAGGAGCATTCAGAAAAGCAACATTTTAGAATCACATGTGGGAGAGTTCACACAAAGTCTATCACAGTTATTTTATAGAATAAAATCCACTAGGCTTAATTGGTTCCATTAACTTTGATGAGACAGCATATGTCATTCTGTTTGCTACTTTTACAGGAAGAGATCACATTTTCCAGCTGTAGTTCAACTCTATAAATTATCATCAAGGTTTGCCATTTGCATTATTCAGAGCTGCACACGTTCTGCTCCTGTCTCATTGACCAAGTCAGTCTCTTGACTGTAAAAAAACTACGAATAAAGGATTTGCAACTTTTTTTTGCTTTACAATTCACTAGAACAAGAAACAGTTGTTGACATGTACACAATTTTATTTTAAGGACACAGCAATCACAAAGACAGAAACAGAACCATTATTTTAATACTGTAAGCTTTCCTCTGTAAACTGACTTGCACACAGTTAGATCTGAAAGCATTTTAAACAATATCTTGGGGGAAAACACAGCAAACCTTAAATATATTAACTTCAAACTTTATGTGCTTATCTCCTCTTTTTGGTAGCTGGCCACAGTTAAAGCTCTTCAAAGTCATGGCCGCTTGCATTCATTGCTTCAGGGTGCATTACCCTTCCCATGAATAACACAGTACCTATGGAAAAACAGGGAAGGGAGAAGGAGAAGAAAAGATGTCAGAACTGAAAAGTTGAGGTTGTAAGATGATGAATACTAAGATCTCGAGCATGTGGTGCACGATTTTTATAGGAATGTATGTCTCAGAGAACTTGGTAGCCATGAAAAGCAATGGATCAATAGCCCTAGAGAAGCTGACCTCTTTGTATTCAGAACTGATTCAGTACAGACAAGAAGCATTTCAGTGCCCTTCTGCTTCTTCTGATTCAGAAATCAACACAAATATTCACTTTCATTTCCATGGTTCTGGTGAAGGCCCCCGCTGCCACTGATGTCAAGAGGTTATGACACAGTACTGGTTTCTAGGCTGGGGGGCTCCAAAGGTAGTGACTAACCTTAACTGAAATGGGAACACCTAATGAGTAACCATGATCACTTCTGACCCTCACGTGCTTGAGCTGCTGGACAATGTTCTTCACAGAATTAGAAGTGAGCCCCAAAAGTCAGCACACCAATCAGGTAACAATTCTTAATAGATAGATAATTGCCTAATTATGTGTCTGCAACAGCAAGGATACTCAGTTCTGGTCAAAAAAAAAAAACCCCACCCTAGGAGCTGGTATCATGCCTTGCACACAAATGACTGTACCTACCTAGACTATAAGCATTACCATTACACTAAATGGTTTAATAAACATTGATACCCGTGATGGGGATCTCAAACGGAGAAAAAAATCTGTCAAACTGAACCTACCAGAGTTCGCCTGCAGACCATTTCAGACACAGATATAAGACTCTCATATAAGAGCCTGTGGGTGCATAGTAATGTTTTGTCACTCAGTCACATCCACATCATTAAGACAAATTACAAATATGAAACTAAGGAATCGCTTAGTCATTGTCCATTTTGCTAGTGAGTGCTGTTCTCACCCCTCGCCTGCCACAGAACACTTTAAGAGCGCAAAAGAATTATTCATAGCTGTAATATCTGTCCATTATGCAAATCATTGGTACCGGGAACATAGCACGCTAGTCTTACTACAGCCAAGCTCTTAAGGAATACAGTGATTATGGATATTCAGGGCAGTAACACTGTGTTCTCTGAAGTAAAATGGTGAATATTTCTTCCCTGGGATTTTTAATCATGTAATTGCAAATATTTTTCAGGATTACGTCAAGATTTTAATGTCTTACTTGGAAAAACATTAAGAGGACATAGAAAAGGTCAGCCTTTCAATATTAGGTATTTTAAGACAAATTCAGGAAAACCCATGATACAAGGCCAGATCATTGATGAAAATATGCAATCTTCGTTTGTATATTTGAAGATGTACTGTGAAAAATATGGAAGAGTCCGCAATATTCTCACCTGTTCTTCTGTTTCTGACCAAAAAGAAGAAGGGATGGTCAACTATAACTTGGGGATACAGCACTGCCATTCTGCTAATGGCAATCATTCCTAAAGGAAAAAGAACAAAAACAACTTGTTAAATATCACTGCATATTCTCCTGTCCTTCATGAGAGATACTTGCAAAGCTCATGAACAGACACTGAAGTCCCACACTCTCAGAACTAAGCATCACCAAGAAATAGCATGAAAAATCTACCTGAAAATGAAAGAGACCTACAGAGTAATTGCACACCTATTTACGCTTTAAGAATGATTATCAATGTAGAGTGGCATGATTTCCAAGGCTGAGTGAGCAGCTTGTAAATTATAAGACCCATAACCTTAAGACGAGTTATGACTCCTGCTCATTTGTAGAAAGAAAATGCACTACGTTAGACAGCGCTGATGACCTGTTTTAAACAGCTCCAAGCCTGCAGTTGATAGTAAAAGGTAACCCTTAATAACTACGGAGTATGCAACAACTAAATGGGCTGATCTTGCAGCTTTTGAGTCTTTAAATAATGCAGATGCTGAAAGTAAAATTAACTGGGAACCAGGTAGCATTTGGCTCTTTGTTATTTTTATTTGTAGAAGCATTAATTTCTCCAGGACATTATTATACTTTTCCAGTGCTTCATTTACTTTTACATTTTCACTGCACTGTTAATGAAGACTTATGCATGCCAGTAATCTCTGTCCATATTAATGTTACAATTCAACCCAGTTGCTGATATTCATGACCAGGGAAGTCATTCTTCCTTTCCTCAAAGACTAGTACAAATAGAAGCAATTAGAAATAACCTAATGATACATACTGGCAACTAATGTAACTTATTTTTAGGAAAAGCATGTGATAACAAAGTAAACCCACCACCTGGCCTCCTAGCATTAATAGCTAACAGCTATGTTTTTGCATTTGACATTTCCCATCTTGTATCTCTGTCTACAAGCTTATTAAAATGCAATTGCAACAACTCTCAGCTCCTTCTAACTATTCTGGATCAAATGCCTCTGATCATCTCAAGTAGCAGATAAGAAAATTACACATTCTGAAGTTCCATACAGAAACTATAAATTGCAGTCAGTACCCTCCCGACAATCAGAAGCAAAATAAGGAAGAAAAGGCTTTTCCACAGGATACTCAAAATTGTTTGTGAAACATACTGTGATAAAAAAAACACTAACAGTTTTCATTTCCAGATTTCTCTTCTGAAAAGCTGTGTACTTGCTATGCTATGTCTTCATGCTACATGCTATTTGAATACTGTGTTCATTTTTGGGCCCCTCACCACAAGAAGGACATTGAGGTGCTGGAGCAGGTCCAGAGAAGAGCAACGAAGCTGGTGAAGGGTCTGGAGCACAGGTCTGATGAGGAGCGGCTGAGGGAGCTTGGGTTGTTTAGTCTAAAGAAGAGAAGGCTGAGAGGAGACCTTATCACTCTCTACAACTGCCTGAAAGAAGGTTGTAGTGAGGTGGGTGCTGGCCTCTTCTCTAAAGTAACAAGTGATAGGACAAAAGGAAATGGCTTCAAGTTGCGCCAGGGGAGGTTTAGGCTAGATATTAGAAAAAAAAATTTTCACTGAAAGAGTGATCAGACATTGGAACAGGCTACCCAGGGAGGTGGTGGAGTCACCATCCCTGGAGGTGTTCAAGAAACGTGTAGATGTGGTGCTTAGGGACATGGTTTAGTGGGTTAGGTGGTGTGGGTTGACAGTTGGACTTGATGATCCTTGAGGTCTTTTCCAACCTTAATGATTCTACGATTCTATTTATCTTTCCTAGCTGTACAGCAAGTCAGTTTCAAAAAATTAATTAACACAGAATAACCAGACATTTGATTCAGGTCTGCTTTTCAGTCAGGTACCTGAGGCAGCAGCAGCTTCTGATCCTTCCTCATTAACTTCTAGAAATGCCTTGTGAAATGCCTTTGCAAGGTAAAGTTCTTTGTTATCTGGAGAGGAAAAGGAAACATATTTCAAGAGGTTCAACAGTAAGACTGAAGAATTTTTTTTTTTTAAATAAACACTGCCCAAAACCTCTACGCTATTTTCTACCTTCTACACCAAGCAGAGAAGGGTAAGAGCTTTGTGCATAGCAGTTGTATTAAAGTACCTTCAGCTGATACCTTTAATAGCACCATTTACCTCTCAAATTTGTAGTGCTCTCTCCTACACTATGGATATTAAAATAGCTGAGCACTGCCTAGAGCACCAGTATACCAGACAAAGTAAGAGACAATCCTTGAACATAAGATTTCCAATGCAACTATTGGGAAAAAGGATTATGTCATTATAGGGCAAATACTTATATATAAAGAATTTTATTTCTGCATTAGGTGCAAGATAGCCTTCCTCCAGGAAAATTAGGTATTTTCTTTCTTCTTGTCATTATATTTAAAAGAAGCTGAAGACAAATATTGTAAAAACCACCATGGAACTAGGTTTTTTTCAGTCTTGTTTGTTTTCTATCCTTCTTTGTCAGTATTTTAATTTTGGTTCAAGCCTACTCCAGCTTAAGTCAGTGGATGTTTCATTACTTTTCTTCAGTGGCTAAATGATCAGACCTATTGGAATACTCGGCACCTTGCAGGAAGAAGACACATAACACCATTTAATCTCTTTGACTAAGTTTCATCAGAAAGACATAAACAAGGACCAGATATACATTTGTTGTACCTGCACAAAATCCACAGTAATGACACAGCACAACTGGCAGTTAAGAAAGGAATGAGACAGCTTTCTCAGCAGGGAGATACACAACCATGACAGTCTGGTCTAACCACCCCAGTGAGACAGCTATACCATTTTGCATTTCTGATCCTTCACAAAATGTTCAACACCAAAACTCTAGCTGAAAGCTGACTAAGGAGGGAAAGCTTGAGACTATTCATCTAATTGTTACCCATTTATTTTGTCTCTCACAACCACTAGTTCTAACACTAATTGCAAGCCAAAACCACAAGAGACAGCCATTTATGTCTCTCCCCAGCAGATCTCATTCATGCTACATATACTCAGAACCAAATTAAACTTCCTAGTCCAGCAGCTTAACTTAAATCTCACCAGTAAAAGCCCCAAATCATTCCCTTTGAGACTGTGCACAGTAAAACATATACTAGATTGCTAAATATTGTACCAGTTCTAGGCTTCAGTTCCAAGCCTTCAGTAATGCTATCCTGAAAGCTAGGATAAAGTCTCCACCATGTTACTTTAAAACACATGACATGCAGCATCTACTTATCTTGAACACTAAGCACAATTCTCACAGTTTTTGTCTCCTTAACTTTTAACAGAAAGGCCACCTGAAAACACAATGTGGTTGCATTCTAACACTAACATCACCTTTAAGCCTCAAGCACTACCTGTAAAAAATAAATCACAAGCTAACTAAATACTACAGTCAAGTGTTAAACAGTCATCCCCTAAAGCTTCAATTTCATTACGGAACCATTAAGACTCACGTTTTCAAAAAAATGTTTTAGAACAAACACTGGATGTGCAGGAATATTCACATAGGTGACAATGGACGGATACCTAACCAAAGAGGATGACAGATCCAGGCACATCAGCAATTCCTGTTGTCCATATCTGGTGTTATGTGCGTGCTGTCTTTGTAAACACGTCAGTTACCAGGATGCTTGGTAAGTTTATTGGTCAGTTCTGCAAATTCTACCTTCCAGGCAGCTATGTTTTGCTATCCTTGTTTGAGACCATTTCAAAACTCTATTGAGCATTTCAGCTATACAGCACTTACTGAAAGAAAACAGTAACTTTGCAGGCTTTATAGAAAAATGCTGGTTTGGAGTTCCTTATTTTAAACCCAAATAAATTTTTATGTTTAATAACAGACAAACTAATGCCCACTTGGCCTAACCACATACTTGGATCACTTTCTTTTTTTAATTACAGCACTTAAACCTGGACCTGTGACCTGTAATATTCATGGCAATACTCTGTATTTTCATCCTCAATGCTTTATTTTGCCTTGTACCCTAATCCAAGTTTCTAATCCACAGAATATGTAGAATGCCTTTATTCAATGTAGTATAGAGAGTTTTGATTGCTCTGAAGCAATTTTTTTTTTAATCTTACCAACCTCATGGCCTCAAGGAATACCCAGCAAAGATTTCCATGGTTAAGGTTTCCATAAGAGAAGTACTTTCTATTTGGTTTCAATTTGTTGCCTTTCACTTCCTTGGATATCTTTGTCCTTGGATGGCAAAAAGAGCATTTCCACATCCCAAGTTACTTTCTCTAGACTCTTCTCATTCTATTTCCACTACCACATCCTTCTCATTCATCTCTCCCTGAAGTGAATGAATCTATTTTCATATGGAAGCATAATGTTGTCACCTACTGCTCAGGCATTCTTCTCTTTGCTCTGTCTTCTGATTGTCAAATCACTGACTGCAGTACTTCAATATCATACACATCTTGTCATTATTATACATCTTTCCTTTATGTTTTTCACTGTGAAATAGGTGGGGCTTACCTGAGTATCTACTATCATATTGCTTCATCGAATCTGGATTTTCATAGGAACCAACATGATTGTTACTATTTCAGCAAAGTCCCATGGAGATTTGATACAAAAGTTTAAGCTTTCTGCAGGATTCCAGCCTAGATACCCATTAATGTGTGGGAGTAATCCGAGACTTACTTCTAATGTACACGACTCTGTTAGCATCACAGTCCATTTGTCGTTACACTCCATATGCTTGCAAACTCCTACTCATAGTTGCCAACTGGTTGCTCTGTAAGTCTCATTTTAAAAAAGCATTCAGGCTTATTGGCTTTTCTAGCTTAGGCTGCCCCAGAAAATATGTGCCCACCTCAGTCAAGATTTTGAATAATATTTACTGGACAGGTGCTCTTCTAACTACTTTATATTGTGAAAGTCAGTCATTAGGATCACTTCACTGCTTACATAAATGCAAGTCACCTCGAGGTTAAAAGCAGTTGCCATTTAAGGCATTATACAACAGTAAGAAATATTATGAACTTTTGAAAGGAAAGGTGAATTTTAGTATTTAAATTAGTTCAAGGGTAAGTCCTAGGTGGTGGTAAAATACTCAAGTACTGAGTTTACATGTTGTGTAAATTATAAAATCTAAAATACCAGAAATTGTTTCAAGATCATTTTGAACACCTGATGGAATCAGAGATCCAAGTAAAACTGGTCAAAGTCTTTTGCTGAAAGTGAGAGTCAGTATACATGCAACTAGACAGTCAACAGGACTGTCCTCTTACTCACCTGTGTTAATTGACAAAGAACTTAATTTCTGCAAGAGCATAATATTTAAAATGTGCATCTGGATTAATACTTTCTCTTTAGTTGTTCACAATCCAGACATCGTGGAAGGTAAAGCTGACTTGTCTATTTCCATTTTTCAGATTGAGTGCAAAAAGCAAAACATTCTAAATATTGAAAAATAAGTCTGTAATCCTGCAATTTGATTTCTCTCCATTAAGCCCACATAGAATTTCACTGAACTCAACAATCTGTGCCTGGATCTGATTACAGGATTCAGGCCGTTATTGAAATTGCAGAAGGCTTTCCTTGACAACAATCCAAAGGCAAGAGAAACAAGAGAGGGAAAGGAGAGTATTTTTAAATGTAACAGAATTTCTCAAAAATTTCCTTATTCTTTTATGATATGTATCTTCCTAAATTAAAAGTTTCCAAACATTTTGTTCAAATATCTGCACTTCAGGTTTCATCAAGTGCCAAATTTTCCAGAGGGCTAACAACAAGATGCAGCTAAACTTCTGGCTTCAGCTTCCCTGTTACCTGACATACTATTCAGGTATTTGCAAAAGCAAGCAAAATGCAAACATTTTTCTTCACAATTTTTTTCCCTTCCTCCTCCCTCCCCATTTTATATTGTAAAAATTACAAATAGGAAACATATTCTGTATTTTAATTACTTAATATATCATCTCCATAGCATCAGAGAGGTTTTAATTAAAGACATTACTTCAAAAACATTTTCTTAATTTATGAATGACCTCTTCAGCACCTGGTGGCACATGTCCTTTTAAGTGAAAAGCAAGAATGTTACAGTAAGTCATGAATTCTCTCTAAACACTGCTCTACATTATTTTATAAACAAGTTAATCTTTAAATGCCAAAGGAGTTAATTCAGTCATGCAAAACCTGGTATTTTGATTTTGTACAGTACAATTGTCAAAAAATATAAGACTTTAAACAAGCCATTAGTCACATGGATTAAAACACAAGCAACTTTCAATGTTTCTGCCAACCTCTCAACTACAGAATTAAACCCTGATATCCAGGTGAATTTTACATGAAATAAAATTAAGAGCCAAGCACTGCCTTTGTGGTTCAATCTCCCCTGTGTATTTTCCATTCTCTTTAGTACTTTTCTTTGGGTAAATACTCTTCTGTATATAGTCCAGAAGTTATTTGAAAGCTTACTTTTCTTTGGGGTGCCAGAGAAATTTAAGGTGTTTTTCTCCAGAAAAATGGTATTTTTTAAAAGAAGGTTTTTTTTATTTATTAAAATTATTTTCACATTAGCTAACTCTAGCTTTTCCCCTGAATTTCACTGGAAAAGTGAAAGCGGCAAAACAGTGGACTAAGCTACGTGATACACTCTAAACAGTATTTCAAACTTGGTAAAAGTGAAAAGGATATGAAAAACCACAAACATTTCTGCTGTAAATGTTAGAGGAAGGTTTGCCTTCATTACCACTATTTGAATAAGCCACACAAGTGTGATTGTTTCCAGAGACAGACAATTAAGAACAGTTATTTCCCATCAGCTACGGATCTATCTGGCTGATTAGGCAGCAAGCCACAGAGCAGAAACACACACAGGGAGCGGTATAAAAGTATAAATTACAAAAACAATGACACCAATCTCACACTGGTGCATGCTTATAGACAACAACTGGGTTTACCAAAATTCAGACCATGCTAAATTCATTGCTTGCGTGGCTACTTGTGTTCAGCAAAAACCAAACAACTTCTTGGGCATTTCAATACCTTTCAGGAGGTATTAAAAGCATAAATATCTCATTTCCACCTGAATTTCTAAACATATTGGACATTTCAACTTCTGAAAATAAAGTGTTGACAATCTATTGAAATAGGTAAGCAGCATATGTGACTAAATTGCTTTTATCTCAGAACTCTTTCTTTCCTGTGCTGCTTCTATACAGCAGGTATCTGGGGAGATGACTAATTGTACAACAGCTTAGTGCTCTTACTGCTGTGAACAAATAGCCTCTGGAGATAATGAGATCCAGTTCTGAAATACTTGGAGTGAATGCTCCCAGCTCAAAAATACCTCCCCCCCGCCCCGCCCCACCTTGATGGATTTCTCTCCTGCCGCAACTGCTCCTACAGTGAGCACACTCTTACACTATGCAAAAATCGCAAAGGATCAAAAAATTGCTAGCAGGTGGTTTCTTTTTTTTCTTTTTTCCCATAAAGCCACTTTGAAGAGCTTGTTGGTTATCTTCAGGTGATTTTAGTACTTCCTCATATACCTTGAGAGAAAACACAGGAACCTCTTACCAGACATCGCAGTGAGGTCAGCACTACTGCTGAACAGCTCTGTAATTCCCAGACCTCTCCAGACATCTTTCAGATCAATTTCCTGTTCTACTGTGAACCTGCAGAACATAATAGGAAATTACAAAAAGGCCAGAATGTAAGCCGTACTTACTGTTAGCAGTACTTAATGTTATTAGAAGGTTAAAATTTCTAGGTACTGACAATTGAAACACCGAGGTAAATAATGTAGGGTAGGAGATTCAGCACTAGCAGTATAGCATAGCAAGTAACAAAAATAACCCAACAAATTAGTTTACTCTCACAGCTGCATTCTTTTTTCTAATGCAAAAGCAATCAAAAATATGCTAATACTATGTACAGTCCCTGACCATAAAACCTCCGTGCAAAATTATGCAGTAGCTAATGTAAATGCTTGCTTTTTATACAAAAGGTTTACCATAAAAGCTGAATTTAATTGTACACACACTGGAATAGAATATCAAATAAGGGAAAGGCAGCACAAATTTCATAGACAGCTGTTGGCAAAGGAGTACGAAAGTAAGGAAGACACTCCATTTTTTATTTACATGGTAAAAGCAAGGACCAGCAGTTATGAATACAAATATAAAGCATTTCTGACTCAGCTTCTAATTACTCGGGTGGCAAAATTTTAATTGGGTTTTGACTGTGAATAAAGAACAGGGAAAACAAATAGCTTTTAGCGCAAATGCACATGTGAGTATAACCTGGCAGGATTTCAGGGTTAGCTTGCAAAGCCATGTTCTAGGCTACGTTACTATGCTGGTGATTTATCCTGAGGGCAAGATTTTGAGCAAAAGCTTGTTGCATTTACAAAGACTTCATTTCAAACATTATAAAAGTTACGTCTGGTGTCAGTAAGGCAAAAAAGACTCAAGCACTTTAGGTATGGACAGAAACAGAGTGGACAGCTGGAAAAACAAATAAATATGTCAGAATAATGATGAATGGCAGCCCCAACCAGAAAATACCGGAAGTCTACAGACAAACACAAGAGATTAATTATAAATGTTATAAGAGTGAGTTATGGGTTCTCTGTAGAATGACCAAATTATTAGTGATTTAAATTATAGTGACAGTGACTGGTCATAACCATAAAACACAAAATACGAAGTGTGTAAGGTGTCGTTACAGTTTCTCCAGCAAGCCATTCAGTCAGAAACAACTCTGCAATTACACTGCAGTCCTTAATGAAGTGTCTTACCTGTGCTAGAATCAAAAAGAAAACAAAATGTGCTTCTGTGCAATTTCTTGTAATAATTCTTTTTCAGGACTAAACTTCCTCAACTACATGGAGGAACACGTCCTTTTCAGAAGGAAGTATAGTCCAGAACTCTGAGCAGAGAATAGCTGATGAAGAGCTGAGATATATACCTTGGCATGTATGGGCCTTGGCAGCTTTCAAAAGAATAATCTGGATATCAAAAGACAACTGGATAAGAGTCAAGTGTATCTTCTTCACTTACAACATTTACACAGAATGAGAGAAATCCAATATACAATCTACATTAATAATGAACGCAGAAATGCCATAAGAAGCCAAAAATCTATGATGGAATAGATATTAGTCATTACCCAGAGAAGAATTTTATGCAAGTTCAAATATGACTTGGAGATAGTTCAGGATCGATAAATCACTGGTGGCACTGCAAGTCCACATGAATTCCAGGATATGCCTGGAATAAAAACACAAGAACTGATTCTTGTGATTTTATTGTCTTCACAGTTCTCAAAAGAATCAGAAGAGATCAACAAAGATTTAGGTACTGGAGGAAGCTTATGGTGTTCTGGCATATTCTGCACAAGTCACTGTGGTAGCATTAAAAAAAAAAAAAAAGATGTCATTATTTTAATGAATGAGATGTAGCTACATAGATGAGATGACCTGAGAACAGCCAAGAGGGAATGGAAATGTGTCTGTCCTGTTAGCTTTCTTCTTCAAGAGGAAACATCACCTATTTTCCTCCTAGAAAGCTGTAGACTGGTCAAAAACTACAGGCAGGGAGTTCACAAGACCTTCTGCACAATTTTAGCTTTAAGCTGAGAGACAAATCTGCAAGTTGCTCATTCATTCAGACTCCTCACTGGCTTACAGGCTCCGAAACTACAGAATAAGTCTTACTCTCACTTCATACTTGTAAGTCCAGACCTATTTTAGAGACTTCAGTAAAAATCCTAAGAAAGATGAATTAAGACTTGATTGCTGATGCTAGGGTTAAACAGTACAGAGGTTCCGGCTGTGCATGGTGAATAAATCCAGAAATATTTCCTTCTATATTAAAAACTATACTATAACATTTTGAAAAGCATGTTCAAATGTACCCAGCTTAAAAACAAGAAGAAAAGGCAAATTAATGTTAAAATGCATTTTGAAAAAATTTCAGAATGGTGTATTTTTCCCTTTTTTGGCTTTTATTTCACAACAATTTGAATTAAATGTATCAACCTTCCAAGATAATTTAGCTATTAAGTAGCCATGTCAAACTAGTAAAGAATATCAGGATAGGATACTAGCACGAGAAGTCAGCATGAAAAGCAAAATTTGAGGTCACAAACAAGAAAAATAACAGCAAAACACCATTTTTTTCCAACTGCAGAGAATCACGGTAAGATATAACAGGCAATCAGGTGGGTTTAAGTCTCTAGACCATGCAGAAAACACATATCTTATCTGCTAGGCAATGAATTATGACCCAGAAAGAAAGCATGACAAAAGATGCTTTTGCATACTAATAAAGGAAGATGTTTCGGAGATGTTTTTGGAAAAAAAACACAAAAAAACCCAAAACCAAACCACCATAAAACTCCAGTTGCATATGCATCTGAAAAAAGAAAATGCAAACAGGTTGACTGGTTATATTGCTTAAGAATACCTCCACGAATAACCATAGCAGTTATTTACTGGATAGAGGCTATACCTCTGACTGAAACCCCTGGAAAGGCAAATGCTGAGCAGGTGGATGAGTAAAGGTCTTTACAATATCTGTAAGAGGGAGTTCCTGCTTTTTATGATGAATAAAGTAGACCAAAAATATCACATCAGCTGTATTAATACTGAACTATCCCTTTACGAAAATAAAGCTAATTGCTTCCCTTCTTTCCTTTCAGTTTTGTCATATGGTAAAAACCCACTCTGAATCACGATTCAAAATAGCATCTCCCCTCCTTTCTCATATGCTCTGAAGAGCAGCGAGAGTTACAGACAAGCTATTCTTAATGATATTTCAAATATTTTAGCTAACATCAGAACTAGCCTCTTTTGAAAAATAAAAGGGCTGCTTTATATTTTGAAATATGATTTCAGGTTAAGAAAACTGATGTAAGCATTTGGTATGAGTTATCCTCCAGTCATATTTGGATTTCTTTGCATTCCTTATAAGCAGTGATGTAGGTATTGAAAATCAAAGCCGACAACCTAGAACACAGAAGAGACATTCAATCTCATTTCCCAAGCCAGGTATTTGCTTTACCTCCAGACTTCGGAAATGCTGAGCTACGTGATACTAGCCCTGACATGTGGTTATTTGCAGTGTTTATTGCATATAACAAACCAGATGGTCATATTTTTTTTCCACCACTTTTTAGGTGCTTCTGATTCTAAAAATACTAGGAAAATAAATCAATTTCAATACTTCAGTATCAGAAGTCATGGAATAGTTGCAACTGGAAGCATTAAAAACCACAGAACGTCTGAAGGAAAGACAAGTTATTTTCACCATAAGACCAGAACAGAAACAGAAAGACTGTTCTGTGGAGTCAAAAGGAAAGCTTCTGTACTTAAGCACTTCTAGAAGGTTCACCAATATACATGTTAACGGACACATGCTTCTACAGACCACCTTGGAAAGCACTGAGCAGAAAGATATTAATAAGTGATAGTGACTCTCAGCTCTTAGCCAAAGTCAGGGAGAAGGGAAGATGCGAGTTAGCTCTGTATTTATTTCTTACAATGTTCATTTGTAATTTCTCTCTACTTCCTACATGTAAAATGCAGTCCAAATAGCTGAACAGAAGTACTTTCCTTGATTTCCACTGTCTTTGGATCTCTCCCATATGAAATGAAGAACAGAATGAGATGCTTAGGAAGAACCAGACTGAGAAACTAACAGTTCTGTGGAGATTTTAGTAGGGAATGACCACATTTTCATGAAATTTAAAACTTACACAAGCATTAAATTAAAATGACACATTTATGTCATCAACAGTCTCCTTAGTTATGTATCTGAATCTTTAGGTTTTGCATAGAGCATTAACTTTAACATACCATATCAGGCAATCTTTCTTCTATTTTACAGACTCTCGAGACAGAAATAAAAAGATGGCTCCATCTTGCATGATGCTGTCCAACCCTTCCAAAATGTTGAATTTTCATGAAGTACTTAGATGCTCAGGATCCACAGAATCAAGAAGGATTAGGGTACACTTTCTAGTTATACAAGAGAAGTGAACTAGAGCCTAGCATGATTCATCCCAAAGGCTATAATTTGAAAAATTACTAAGAGTTCTGAACAAACAAAAGCAAGATATTCCAGGTTTTCTGACTGGTTCTAATACATTACATTCTGCAGGACAAAAAGCAAACAAAGGAATGGCTCCATTGCTGGAGATCAACAATGTTCTTCATTGGAGGACAGGCTCTCAGGATCTGAATCGCTATTTTAACCTAGCAAGCAGCCTACAATACAAAGCTGCCAGCTGATTATCAATTCCAGCATATCAGATTGAATTTGAGCCAGGTTGTCCTGAGGTGCTAGAACAAGCCTGCATGATTTAATAGCCTGAAAACAAACAAGCAAGCAACAACAACAAAAAATCCCCACTAACAGAAAAAAACAAACAAAACCCCCTATACAGCTACTCTGGAGGTGAAGCAAGGCAGGTTATGGTTTTTTCTCTAGCAAGGTCCTTCTGTCCAAGGCTAAATATGGGCTGCAGAAGTCGGCTGTGTATTTCAGTGGGACAGTTTTATGCCTGTTCCGTGACTGTATCTCAAGACCAATGAGCACTGGCCTACTCCTCATGAAAAGGGGACTCAAGACAACATGTTAAAAGAAGAGAGATTGTCAGGGTTTTTTTTGCTTTAGGGTTGTTTTGGTTTGGTTTTAAGAGAAAACAACCTTCAGCTAAAGAAACATAATTTCAACAGCATCGGAGGCATTTTCAAGATATTTTAAATGTACAAAAAAGCAAGGTCAGTACAGAGAGCCGGGCATGCTGGAACAATCCTTAAGAGAAGATTGGCAGTCTGTAGCACTGTTATTAGGAACTAGTTCCTCCTCTGCTCTTCAAATAATTTATGTTAGAGAGACAGCTTTGTAAATTAGATTCATGGTCTGCTTCACTCCTATGCAAAAAGTGGATTAAAACGTTGATCACTTTAGTCTGGGTTAAACTGGAAACAATGACTTGAAAATGAAAATGAGAAAGTATAATTTAACAATTCTGTACAAATCTCTCCTTTGCTATTAAGAGGAATAATACACAATTTCATTTGCACACAGATAATGCAGACAGAAATTGGAAAGTTGTGATTAACTCTGCTTTGGCTAGTCATTCAGGTCCTATTACAAATGTATAAGTTTAAAAAATGTTCACTTTATAATTGGATAGCATTCTTTCAGGATATAAAAATTTAATTTTATTCCACTGCTGCTTTCAATTTTTCAGTGGACAGAGCCTGCAGGCCACATTTCATAACATTCTTTTCTGAGTCAGAGCATAAAATATTTATGAAGTGTTTATTTAGAGCATTGATAAAATCCTGCAGATCACCTCTGAATCCCTAATGGAAACCCAACACCTTGGGAGCATGCAATTAAACTTTGTAATTTTTGTAAGGAAACTGCAGTATTACTATGTGGAATTTCAAGCTCAAGATAGTTATCTTTTATAATCTGAAAATACTGAAGGTAATCAGCACCTGGTTGTACTTGTTGTGCCTTTGTATAGCCTTAATTCACAAATGTTTGCCAAGTTCTTTCAGGTTCTCAGATAAGAGTGAAAAGAACAACAACTAGCCTGAGGACGGAATAAATAAAGACATTATATGGCCACACAAAACCTAAGACTCAAACTCATGTCTGAGAACCTGGCTACAGACAATCCGGGAGTCTCTACTTTTAGCCAAAAGCAAACAAAACCCAAAACTACCTCCATAAGCTTAAACCAAGTAATAAACATAATTAATATTTTCAATTACATTCATGTATTTAACTTTCAATATCTAAGCTTCCTAAATTTGTAAGTCAGTTTTCACAGGTTCCCTATATAATCAATGGAGGGAGACTTCTGTTACGGATTTCACACTCTAGAAAATCTTTGAGAGAAGATGCCCAACCTCAGCACCTTATGCACAGGCTGTGAAATGCTCCAGTTATAAGAGGAAAGCTTAAGGGATGGAAGAATCCTCATATTTTTCTTCTTATTAACATCTAAGTAAGGTCTGCCCAAGACAGCAGGAGAAATAGCCTAGGAGAAACGCCCCTCTGCATCTTAGTGGACTGTTAATACTAAAGCTCCTGATACCTGAAGCTCCAAGAGAAAAACAAACAAAAGTCACAGGAATATTGTACAGCAGGTTCAGTTTGCATAAAACCTGCAATGGGGCAGAGAAAAACAGCCCCAAAATGCTGCTATTCCTTCGCCACTCTGACCCCAAGCATAACAGCTTTAAGGAGAAGGGAAATTCCATCTTGAGCTGGAATCAGGGCACCCTGACAGCACCAGTCCATCTTAACCTAATATATCCTGGCTAGCCTTGTTTTATTGTGCTCAGCTGCAGTTAGCTTCTTGAAAGTGGTCTTTGCTTGGAAAGGAAGCTGATAAAGTGCAGGGATTCTTGCCCTGCCCTTTACATGTGAAATATAACAAACTCAAATCTCCAAGTCATCTGAAAACAAAGAACTATTTTAAAGATTAGAAGGATTCACTATAGCTTACTTTTTCTGCTGCCATGTACCCACTGTACAGTGCCACAAAAGTAGAATAAGTCAAAGTGATCTACATCAGACTTGTGCCATATTGTTATATAAACACTTCAATGAAATAATTATGAATCCCTTGAAGGACATCACGATCTAACCATACATTATTAGTGACATTTAGTAGTAAACAACTCTGTTACTAAGTCAAGTGTAGGACAAGCATGAAAAATATTTCAAGGTAGATGAAAGAGAATTCTAGGAAAGATAACTAAGTGGTATATGCAAGCAAATATGCCACTGAGCACACACAACTTATGTCTACAAATGAACTGACATAAGTTTCATCCCTTCTGGTAGTAACGTCTTGTTTTTCTATTGCTCCTCTAAGGAAAAAGAAACCAGACTTATTACAACTAAGAAAAAAGACACAAGACACAAATCGACTGGAATTGCCTCTCAACACTAAACCATTTGTATCTACACAGACACACACCATTAAAACTTTTAAAGTTAGCAGCACACAGAAATCTAGTTAGAACCTAAATGGAACATTTTAGCTTTTGTTAATTCAGACTTGCAATATTTTTATGGCTCCTGACTAAATGGAACTTACCCATAATGAGTTCTGCAATACTCTGAACATCATTCAGAGTGGATATATTCCTGATGACGAAATTCTCCTTTCTGGAACTTACATATGAAAGGAATGCAAATGCAATGCTCATCTGTTGTTCAACCAACCATCATTCTGCACTGCATACCCCTGAGCTTTTTCGTCAAAGCAACCTTCAGGTGGGTGCTACATAACTGCAGGCTCGATCAAGATGTTCAAGTTTTACCTACTCTGCTACTTCAATCAATTTGAATGCAGTCTTTCCCCTTCTATTGATATGGGAGCATATTCTCACCTTGGTAAATACACTTCCACTTTTTGCTTCTTTACAGAATTAGCCCATTCATTAATCAACGAGGCTTTGACCAGTGGTTCCAATGTGACCAGTGGAACTTCCTGTCTGGAAAGAACAATCATCATACTAAACTCATCTCCCTCATATGGTATTTCCAGAACTTGATAGATACCACCTGCTTCATTGGAGCCATCACTGAACTCTCCTACAAAAGAAAAACAACAACAAAAAAGCTATTAGAAATATTTTCTTTGTCTTCACTGGAGATAGGGGAAAAATAGAAGGCTAATACTAGGTAGGCAGTATCTACTAGGTACTCGAACTAAAAATGACCCTCTTTGTTCCATTCTGTATAAAATTTATATTGGTTTCTTCATCGTAGCATTTGAAGCTTACATCTGCTTTCTTAAAGAAAACAAGCTTATGCAATCACACAGTTTGTAGATAATCATACTTCTGAACCTATTACCCAACTTCCATTGGTTAGACAGACAGAAGTCTAAAAGCCGTTAAGGCTGCCAAGACTTTCATGGAAATGGGCAGAGGTTTTTTAATTCAGGAGAGATAATTTGTCAATGGTGAGACTGAGTGAAATTCTGACAATGCTAGACACTGCAGGACCCACTTGGTGTTCAAGCTCAAGATAAAAACGATCATTAGTCCTGCTGTTCAGAGAACCCCTATTTTACCTTCTAAGGATATTACAACAATAACAATTAAACATTATTAATTTTAACATTAGCAGAGCACAAAGAAAATATTATAGTGAGAAGCAGGACCAGCTCAAGAATTATAAAGAGGTTAAATAAAACAAATAAACGTTCTGAAATCCGTCATGTGGCACCAAATGTACTTAAGAAAGTAATCAAGAAAGAGGTCATTACAAATGTTGCTATCTAGTTATAATACACAAGCACACACATTACGAAAAGACATCAAAATCAGAGTCCCTCAATTGGGTAAACACCACATTTAAAATTCTAGGTGAAAGAACAGACAAGTTTTTTTCAATACAATGGAGTACTACTGCAACAAATCTATTAAGGGAAGACTTATTAGCTTTAAATTGCTAAAGCTCTAACTTACCATAGTAAAACTCTCCCTGTTGGTACATCATTGGAATCTGCACTTCACTTTCATCATCTTTAGTGAAAGAAAAGGTTCTTGTATTTTCAGGTCTGAACTGTGATTTCCAACTGCCTTTAAAGTAGATTGCATTGACCAGAGCCAAATGTGTCAGAGCACCAAAATCTCTTGAAGACACAAAATCTTTGATCATATCTAAGAAGGAAACCAACTGTCAGTCTGCATGTCAAATTGAGCATTAAATCAAAACTTAAGACAGCTTGAAAAATGCAAGAAAATAAAAAGCTGTGCTAACATGTAATTTCCAATTCAGATGTTTCATTAAATCTCAAATTAAACTGCCAGTGTTTTGTAAATCTAAATCACAGTGTAGGTGCGTAAACCCTTCCATCAAGTACGTGTTAGTCAACCATTTCTTGATCACTACTTAAATATACCCCACAATGAAACCAAGTGGAAAAAGGGTCACAAAAGGAATGTTTACACTCGTGCTATAATACAGTTCAGCACTATCTTCTTAAGGTCAGAACTTCTACAGACTTTGGCTCCAATCCAAAGAAGCACTTAAATGGGTGCTTAAAGTGTTTAAGTATACCCATTGGAACTTCACCTGGGCCAATTTTAAAGGAAGCATTCAGTTTCAGTAAATCCTGCTGAGTTCAAAGTAAGGACTAATCATAAACCTCCCCCCCATAAATTCACAGCATTTGTTCCACTGACATTAGCTCTTGAAAAGCAAAAGAGAAAAAACATCTAGCATCTGCTATATTCATAGGAGGTATGTCAGCTGAGCATGGCAGCTGCTTTGCTCCTACTCCTCAGTAAGTCATTTACATCAGAAAACAGTCTGTTACCTGCTTTGGCTCATCTTAAATGGCTTGCTTTTCATCAAAATAATTTCAAGTTTGTGAAATCTGGTGCACTGTCCAGATTTGTCACTATTCTTGAAGAATTACAGCCTACTTCAGATAGCTTTCTCGCTCACTTCTATTTTTAACTGACATGACAGCGTAAGGTGTTAAAATAAAGACATTCCTCAGTCTGATTATTACTTTTTAATCCATGCTTTGAAACAGATTATTTCTGCTTTCTGGAGCATATGACACCAACTAACTGGTGTGAAATTTTGTATAGTAGGGCATATAGCATTTCTTCTGTGTTGCTATTTGTATTTATCTAGAACATTCTTATAAATGAGATGTGACTCATACTGCCATAGTCATCCTCTGTGGTTGGACAAAAAAAAAAAAAAAGGAAAAATTAAGAAGGAATACATTTTAGTTTTTTCCATTTCTATTTAGTACATCATATTCCCTCATATTTTTCAGATACGTCTTGTTAACACACTAATGTAAAACGTTAAAAATCTTTCTGGCCGAAAAAACCTTGACAGTGAGGTTTTCTGCTCCGATCCTCCCATCACACTTAACATGTTGGAATTGGAAACCCGCCTGTCTTGTACCCCTTTCCTAATGAGAAAATGAGCTTCCTTCTTCAGGGCTGGCAGACAGGAGAGGATGAAATCTAGTGGCCAGAGTGTAGGCTGAGGGACTGTTACTATCGCAACCTAATGCTAAGAGACCCAGAGCTGCCTTTGTTAGCTCTGCACAGCTCCTTCCAGGGCAACGGTTACAAGCTCCCTCAGTACATGTGGCAGGTACTAAGGAGGAGAACTTGCTGTTCTTTCCAAAAGAAAGAGAATTTCACTTTTGCTTCAGACAGATACCACATTTCTCTGAAAACTCTGCAATCTGCTGCATCACATTCCCTCTATTTCTGTACCTTGAGGTAAAGGGCAGAATCTATTATGAATACAATAACTGCCACTTTCCCTTGGAAAAGAGAGATTCTTTCCAAAATGGAATAAAAGCATTATATGAGTTGTTTTTCCACTTTGGTGCCATACATTTCCATAAAGCGTTATGGATTCTAAAATGCTCAGACTACATGGTGATGTGTTAATTCCTTGCTGAGCGTTAACATCCATATTTACAATGGTACAACTGATGTTAGAGCCAGACCCCTGTTGAATTACTCTTAAAGTATCAACCTCCTGAGTGGGCCAGATAAACTACAATGAGATTAGGCTTTGATCCCTACAGTGGGGGACTGACTTCACTGCCATACCTTGAGATCTGCATGTATTCAGAAAGTGTCACAGCTTCGGGATTCCACAAGGGAAGTAAGCACTACATATCATGCAGATCTGAATATGCATATTTACATTGCTAATTTTGTGCGTACTCCCTTGCTGCAAATTTTTGTTGTGAAACTCTCTTGACAGTCTTCCTAAAATTAACTACTCTCTCAACATGGAAAAGATTAAATTATAGAGTCTGATTTTGGGGTTTGAATTTATCTTTTGTATTCCTTAGCATTCTATTTCTCAATACAGAATCACAGAATGGTTGGGCTTGGAAGGGACCTTAAAGATCATCCAGTTCCAACCCCCCTGCCATGGGCAGGGACACCTCCCACTAGCCCAGGTTGCTCAAAGCCTCATCCAGCCTGGCCTTGAACACCTACAGGGATGGGGCATTCACAGCTTCTCTGGGCAACGTGGGCCACTGCCTCACCACCCTCACAGTAAAGAATTTCTTGCTTATATCTAATCTAAATCTACCCTTTTTCAGTTAAAACTGTTAGCCTATCACTACATTTACTACGGTACTTGTAACTATGAGTTCCTCAGAGAACTAGTGATACTCCACACATCCAAAGCACAGGCCAATAACCACTTTGTAGACAACTTTTCTGCAGTTATCAATAGTACTTATATTTGTATTTTGGTAATTTAATACCAAAAACAGTATTAAAATACTATTAAAACGCCTGACATTAAAACAGTCTCCTTCACGAAATGTTACAGGTAATTCAAGATAGTCAGGGGGAAAAAATATTCAGAGAGATACTACTATATGATTAGCAATGGTTAATATTACTTAAGACAGATCATCCCTGCACAAAAAAAAAAAAAAAAAAATCACAAAGAGCTGATACTAGAATTCTTTTTATAGGAGGAGATAATTTAGTCTCAAATGGAACAGATAAAAGCCAAGGTAACAATTCAACAACACTGTACAACTTTGGAAACACAAACACTGCAGGAAGTACATGAAAGAATCAATGTGGACTTACTGTTTGTATGATTCTCCACCCACTTATTGATGTGGGTAGCTACAGCTGCACTTTGGCTGAAGTCTATATTCTCGACTTCAGCTTTAAAGTATTTTTTCACCAACTGCAGAAATTTGTCACTGATATGAAATCCATTCTGCACATAGAGAGAATTAGCAATATTCAGAACATAATGACTTTCTTCAGTAGCTGCCATATCAGAAAGCTCCTTCAAGAAGATAAACTCTTCACCTGAGGAAAGAAAAACAGATTGTTCCAGAAAAGAAAGTTATTCCATGCTTTTTTCTGCTGGAAATTAACAAAGACATTTTCTACCAAAAAAAAAAAAAAATTAAAACTTGTTTCTAAACCGATACACACCTTCAGATTTAAAAGAACAATGTACAAGGCAGAACATAATATTTAGAGCTTATTTTTTCTACTACCTATAATTAGCATAATTAATGAGACATTTGGATCCCATCACAGACAAAGCTATCAACAGTAATCCTTTCAACACCAAAAGAGTAATTAAATTCTTGAAAGTCACACTTTTATGTCTTGCCACCACAAATTCATAAGAGAATTTTTGTTACACCCTAAAAGCCAGTTGTTTAAGGAAGAATGAACTTCAAGTTTTGAAGCTAAGGAATTCCCCACTCACTTCTCTTTGCAAAAGAGAAGGTCTAGAATTTCCCAGGATTCTGCATGGGGTAGTACAGAATAATTTCCTTGGGTAATAAGGAATCCTGAGTAGAATTAAAACAGTGTTTTTTTAAGACAGGAAGCTTGTACTGTTTCCATGTCAAGCTGAAGTTCCTAATAAAAAAAAAAAAAAAACCCAAAACAAAACTTAAAAATTGAATGCAATCATATAATCCAAGCAGAAATCATTGGAGTACTTTCACTGAACATCACTCATATGCAAGAATAGTGAATGGCCCAGCTCAAATCAACTTCTTCAATTATAGCTAAGAGATAATTTATCAATGTTTTAGAGACAAACTGTAGAATTAAATATGTGGTGTAGTCTCCACAGAGAGGCATCATCTGTACAGTGGTACTGTTGAACACATCTTCAGAAATTCCTCCCCTGGATCCTTTCACTAAAGACTTAAGGTCCAGTACATCATACAAATAAGAAATTCCATTCAGGTTTCAAACCAATTACTTTGATATCAAAATTCATAGAAATTGCCTCTTCAAAGTAATTTTTTTGCCATTCACTCACCCGCTCCATTATCAGTCATATTACAGCTGGTTGCACTGACAGTGTACTTTCAGTCCACAGCACAGCACTACATCCCACCACATGACTTAGCTCATCCCACACTACAAATGGGATGGTGTGGTAGCATTGTTCTTTGCTAAAGAAATACATCCTGTTTCTCAGGCTGATGGGAATGTGTGGTATATATTGTGCTGAAACAGCCAACATGCTTCTATTTCCTACATTAGCTTGTATAGCTGTATGTGACATTAATGCAATGCAGACAGAATATAAGCAACACAGAATTAGGGCAAAGAACCTACAGGTTCTACCTACAAGAACCAGACAAGTTGTGTCAAAGTAAGAGACACTTGCAGTTAAACTACTACGATTTTTCATACTTTCTTAAAAGCAACATTGCTAAGACTACTGCTTTCCTTTCTAGGTTTCATTATAAACTCTAAAAAGGATGTTCCTCATATTCTTCCTATAACTCTAGAGGCAAAGGTATGCTTATTTGGCAGACGGAATCCGAGATCAATAGTTAACTGCAACTGCTTAAGACTCAGGTGCCCAAGCCAAGACTGTACGTTAGCATGTCAGCTTACGCAGAATCCACTGAAGCATGCTTCAGCATGCTCAGGCCGTCAAACAGGATGCCAAGAAGCCTAGTGATTAATAACCCAGGGACAAGACAGGGCCACTTCCATTGCTGTTCAGGCATTGCCAGCTGTTTCTGTAAGACAAAAAGCCTCATAATAAAACATGATGAAAAGGACTTACCATTTTTTAAGCTGTCAAAACCCAAGGAATGTCGAATTTCTTTCAAAGTGGTTCCATGGGCTCCAAGCTCTACCATTCCCATGGCTATTGCAATGCTCAGAGGAGAGAAAAGAATATTCTCATCTTCTCTTGCAGCTCGCAGCTGGTTGTAAACATTCACAGAAAGCTCAGCAATGGTTTCATCAGGAAAATTTGTCTTGAAGGCTTTGCTTTGCAAAACAAGCAAAGACAACAGTCCAAGGAAATACATGTCTTGAGATTCTAAGATCTGCAAGATAAATTTTAGAGAAAATAAGTTAATCTGTTTACGTAATAAAAGATTCAACTCAAGAGAAAAAGGGATAATAAACTTTTAGTCTTAAATCTGTGGAGGGAAAAAAACCCCTAGTTATGGAGTTTAATGAATAATTCACTTATTTGGAGGAGAAACTATTACATATATTAGTAACGACCTATTTTCAAAAAAATAACCTACTTCGTTTTGTGACTTCACGCTTTTAAAATCTTTCAGCATTGGATTAACAAAACTCAACTTCTACAGAAAAAGACCGCAAAGACATAGCAATGCATTTCCTACTTTTACTATTTAATTTTGCTGTTGTCGTTAAGCAATGCTCATCTGGAACTGGTATGTGTTTCTGTACTTTTTCACCAAGGAGACCTACAAATCCACATTTCTTTCCTTCGACCTTCCAGTAAAATGCAACTTATTCATCTAAGTCACTCTAAGCCCCAAACTGGTAAAACTATTCCAAGCACTGTAAGAGAGCTTGCTGACACCAGTGACAAACGAAATGTACCATGATGTTGCTCTGCTGCAAAACACATGGCAAGCAGCCAAAAATTCTTTGAAAGAAAAATAAATCATGCCTTAGTTACCAAATGAAATCCCTTTTGTTAGTAAATAATGGTGAAAAGTTTCATAGTTACGCTAGCTAAGAGACAAAACCCACTGAAAGATCTTTAGACGATAAAGTAAAGAAGACATAACAGGGGAAACAGGAAAGTAAACTAAATAGAAAAAAGGGTTAGCACTAATGCTTTGACTAATCCATCCCCTAAGCTTTGCTAAAATGCTTCAGTAAACAAGAGTTCTCACTCTATCCCAGTTTAGCTCATCGCACAACTACTGATATTAAAATTCCAGCTCCTGAAGCAGTGTACGTATGTCTCCATCCTTCCATTTTTTCCTTTAAATTTCATGCTACCTTGGCATCTGACCCACTACTGCCAAGTGTCTTGGGTCAGAAATACCAAGCCAACAAAGCTCCCATTTAAATTCCTTCTCTTTGCTGCTGAGGATAGCTATAACACATAACAAAGCAAAGATTCCTGAAATAGTAGATTAGACAGTACAAGACTAAAAGCTTTAGTCCAGAAGTGTTTACATGTTGTTGTGCCAGTCTGCAGGGCTTGTCAGCACAGGACAAATTTGTGTGAATGTGCTATTCTATTGCTTGACTGAAGTCAATTTGCATGCAGCCAGCCCAAGTGCCTCTGCCTTATGCTTTGCAGCTCTCCTGTACCCGCAGTTACCATGGGCTTCTATAGACCTGACACAGAGACCCTTTGTAAGCTTTATACAACATTTATGTTACGTATTTCATCTTCAAAGGACTATATAGCATTATCTAATTAACTCGTACAACACTGAATGATACATAATTTAAGCATTATTACTCACATTTTATAGCTGAGAAAATATAAAAAGCAACAGGGTACACATACGTGCCTTGGCTGCAACCGAGACAGTCACCACTTGAGATTCTTCCTGTCCCTTAGATGTGGATCTGCCTTTTGTTTATTTTCGCACTGAGAAAATTAAATAGATGAATGGGTGCAGCAATCACACATGCTTCAGGGGAAAAGGACAGGCTCTTAGTGCAATGCAGTAGCTAGAGCTTGGTTTCTCTCTGCCCCACATCTCCTTTCTGATGATTGCTTCCATATATGTATGAAATATGCCCCTTTTCTCAATTTCTAATAAGCCTTCCCCTATGCTGGCATCACTCAATCTCTCTGGACTACCTGACAGATCTTTCTCCGATTCTTAGCAAGACATCAAAAATCTCCACTGAAGGCTCTTATTCTATTTATGAATGGCACAGAATAAGTCATATAAGCCTAAAGCACCATACTGTGCTTATTACTTGATGACTCCATATTTCAGCACACTTACAAACTATCCAGCACATCACTGCTGCCCAATGGAAAACACTTCAGCCTGAGCCATGACCATCACTATTTATTTCATAAAAACCGAGACAATCTTTTTATTGTCCAAAACATTATCAACATACCAGAAACTTCCCCAAGTTTCCTAACAGCGGTTATTAACTGCTTAATACCAGTTAATTTTTTAACCTGTCCATTTATTAATTATGGGATTAAGGATATCAAGGTTTCTGTTACAGAAAATAACTGGATTTCTCCATTGTCTTTGTGCTTCTGGGCATTCTAGATTTCTTTATTTAAAAGAAAAAAAGAGCACGCATCTCTCCTCATGTTACATAACATAAGATTTCATTCAGCGCATCACTGTGATCGATTGAGCCCAGGTATTAGTCTCTCATCCTAAGAGCTGTACAAGGCGAGAAAGGCTTATAAACTTACATCAGGCAGGAGGTCTATAGCAGTGTCAAAAAAGGTACTAAAAAAAAATAGATAAGCAGAAGCTCATCTTTCTTTTGTTGAGGATGAACCCAAAGCATCACCATGGCTTTTAAACTGGCCTGCAAATGTGGAGACTCTCACAACCCAACCTATGCAGACAAGTTGTGTTGCTCAATGCAGATGCAATGATTCAGCTAGCTAAGCTTTCCCCCCTGTATCAAGAACTGTTTGAGCTCCCTTTGAGACCTGACAAGGTTACAACAGACCAAAGATTATCTTCAATTTTAAAAAAGGAAATTTTCCCAGCCTTTCAGTTGCAGAGGCAGCTATTCAGTGCTCCATCACTGATCTTTGTCACATGTGCTACTGCCAGATAGGCTTAAAAAATTGCAGGGGGTAGGGAGAGGGAAAATTTATATATCTTAATGAAGTGTTTAACATGTAGGTTAGACTACTTGAATTATAATATAATATTTGGTATTGAACAATGCTAAAAAAAATATATATATATAAATCAAAGTCATCTGGCCACTCTGGAAAAGCTGCTCATGTGAAATAATCAAATTATAATATTTTTAATTATTTAGGTGGACAGAAAACAGAAAAAGTACATAGATGGGACAAATAAGATTTAAACCGAAATGCTCTTACAAGACAAAGTAACAAACTTTAACTTCATTTTTAAATACATGCTTAAATCCCACTGATGGCAATACAAGAAGTTAAGCTGTGCAGAATTAAAGTTCCCAGTAGAAATGAACTAAAGCAAAACAATTTAGATTTCCCCTCCTGCTCCTTCCACGCCACTCTTAGTCTAGAGAGGTTTTCTAATAGATTTCACAGTGAAGTTCCCCATACACACGTCCAGGGAAAAGGAAGAGAGCCAGGGAGGTGGGAATGAGCACCCAGGTATAAGCTGACGATGAGACCAGCTCTTTTGCTGGAAGTGCTCTCAGCCATATTTTCATAAATATCTTAATTCTCACAATGTATGAATAAGAGTATAACGTAAGGGAAGATGTTTTAAAGCAAACTGAAAATCTGTGGGAGATGGTCAGTGGGGAGAAGGCTGTAAACGAGAACAGACATCTGATCGAGCCTTGCCAGCCAATGGGAAAATGGTCTAATCTTCTCAGTCTAATCTGAGATGTCTGGGTAAGTTTTTTAGTCCAATTCTTCTTGCACTTCAGGTAGAAGCATACACTGTTCTACTGACAACTGGGAATCCAGCTCTTAATTATCATTCTAGTCAGTTACTGCTTCTCTGATTCTGCCTTACTTTAGGCTATATTACTTTTGGTTTTATGCTTCCTTATGCTTCTTTATGCAGCAGGTCTCAATCCAACGAAGAGTTGAGCACTTACTATGGTGCAGCATGTTCTCAGCATCTCTCTTCAGCGAGAGTCGAGGGCACTCAGTTTTGTATCCGCAGCAGTAAGGAGAGCATTTTTAAAACTGACTGTAACCTTATTCACAAACATACTTTAAGTGAAGGAAATGAAGCTGAACATTATATAATGTATGTCCAGGAAGTTAAACAATTCCCATGAGTGTCAAACTTTTTAGTCAGTCTTTTTAGACTCTTCCTTAGAGTCATGAGCAGTACAGTCTGTCATAGCTGAAATCTAGTTTAATAATACTGCAGCAGCTGAAAAGGAGTTCAAGTCCTAACTGAAGAATGTTTAAAAAACCAAAGAACCACCAGTTTCAAATGTTGCCTCATGCATTTTGCATTTATTGGCTACCTATATGAATGAAAAAGAGCTGTTGAAATTACTTTCACTTCTCAGTCATACAGATTTCAAGACCAAAGACATGATTTTCTCATTTGAGGGTCAGTCTCAGACAGAATCTAAGTTCTGTTTTATTTTATCTTAATTGATTAATGAACACCACTTTCTCCTACCAGGCAATCAAAGAATCAGTGCAAGAGACAAATACTCTCCTTACAATATGTTCTTCTAGAAAAAACAACTGTGTACCACAACTCATCACTTGCTACAGAGGTTTGTCAGAGTACTAGTTTTGTTCTTGCTTGCAGCTGTTCTCAGGAAAAAAACTAGCAATAGAACACTAAAAAATGCAGTATTGCTTCAAAAACCTGAGAAACACCTGCACCTTCAGAGGAGACATCATTGCACAGTTGTACCTGTGCACATGTTATCTGGAGACTTTTACCACAACTTCAATGTAAGTCAGCTTCTCTAACATACATACACTTCTTTATTTGAATACCAGCTCCACTCAGTGTGACATTTCTACACGACTTTTCTGGTGTTTCTGCTCTTGGTAGAGAGACACGCCTGTTTTGTCTGGGAGCTTCTTTTGCCTTTGGACACTGTTCTATGCAGAGTTTAAGGGTTTCTTGGAGACAACTTAAAAGAAAGGTACTGTTTCTGATTTTTTCTTGTTCTTTGTCACTTCCCTCACACATTACTTAAAATAATAAAAAAGAGATTCCAGACATATGTCGTTCAATAGGTATTTGCATTGAGGTCATCACTAGTTCAATTCCCAGGCAACTTTTTCATTCAAAATTTCAGAAATTTTCTGTAAAGATTTCATTAGTCCTGAAATTCAGCCTACCACATTTTGACAACAGGTCACAACAAGCTCAGTGTAAAGGAAGCATTCCTATTTGTTTGCTCTGTGGC